CCCATGGCAGGGGAGGCAGGCGTCCCCGCTGGGAGCCATGTACATGCCCGAGGGGCAGGCATCCACGCAGGTGCCATCCGGGAGCAGCAGCTTGCCGGCCGCGCAGATGAGGCACACGCCCGGGTTGGCGGGGCTGCATGATTCGCAATCGATGTCATCGCAGTCGCCGCATGTCGGACAGGGATCCGGCAGGCAGGTGCCATCCTCCTGAAGAACCCACTCCGGGGGGCAGGTCAGGCAGTGGGTCGACAGGGGGCCACTACAGGTGGCACAGCGTCCCGAGCAGCGCGAGCAGGCTGCCCCCGCCTCGGGGAAGGTGCCCTCCGGGCAGGAGGCCACACAGGAAGACCCATGGAGCAGAAGCCCCGGAGCGCAGGTTAGGCAGTTGGCCAGGCCGTTGCCATCGCACGTGGCGCAGGTCCCATGGCACTGGAGACACTGCTTGCCGGTGGCGTCAATCTGCAGGCCCGTTCGGCAGGCCCGGCAAATGGCCCCGGCCTGGGCCGTCACACAGGAGAGACATCCGGCATCGGCGCAGGCCTTGCACTGGCTGGACCCGGGAGACGAAATCCCGGTCCCCTCGGGACAGGTGCGCACACACTCGCCCGAGGGCGCGCGCAGCCAGCCCGTCGCACAGACCGTGCACTGGGAGGCCGCCGGGCCGGTGCACCCGGAGCAGGCCGCATTGCAGGACCGGCACGTGCCTGGCATGCCGCCGGGCAGGTACCGGTTGCCGGCACACGCCGAGCACTGGTTGGACGCCGGGCCCAGGCAGGTCGAGCAGGAGGCCGCGCAGGCGATACACTCCCGGCCGTCGGCCGAAATGGTGAACCCCGGCCCGCAGGCCGTCACACACACGCCGGCCTGGAGGAAGTGCCCCGGGGGGCAGCTGGCGCACAGGCCGGAGCGCGTGGCCGAGCAGCTGGCACAGCTGGCATGGCAGGTCTCGCAGCGGGGCGGAGACACCGGCGCCCCGGTGGACTCGCTCGCCACCGGCAGCAGCCCCGGCTGGCAGACACACGCCCCCACCCCCTCGGCCATGCCCACCGGGCAGACGCAATCCGGCGCGCCCGGGGCCACCGGCACCGCGTGCGTGATGCACTCGCACGCATCCGACAGGGGGGTCAGGTGCCGCAAACGCCCGGGGCAGACACACTCGCCGGCTACCGGGTCATAGTCCACCTCGGCCGGGCACCAGTTGCTGGTCTGGTCCGACCGGCCGAACACCCGGATCACCGGGACCGGGGCGCTGGAGGCGGAAAGCGTCCCAGAGGGCGACGCCTGGTCCAGCAGGACCACATCCACAAATCGATCGCCATCGACATCCACCAGCAGCAGCTGCGGATCGGCCAGCGCCGGGTACTCGACCGACTGCATGGCAGCGGTCGACGGAGATTCGGGCACCTGCCCGGGGAAGATGATCGACTGGCGGAAGGTCACGGGGACCGTGTTCAGTGTGGAGTACACCACCACTCGGCCAGTGGCTGGCCAATGGAGCAGCAAATCGTCCATCCCGTCGCTGTCCATGTCCTTTGCCAGGACCACTGGCCGGCCATGGGGGCCGCCGCTGACCAGGGCCCGGGTTTCCAGCAAAAGCGGAGCGCAGCCATAGGTCGGCCGATCGGTGGGCCACATTCGATCGGGCGAGCCATGTCCCGGGGCAGCATCCTTCCAGTCGGCGTGCTTCAGCGCCAAGCAGGGGTATGGCAGGGCCATGATGCTGTCGGGCAGGCCGTCAGTCCGGACGAAGACCATGTGCAAGACATTTTCACTCAGATTGAGTGAAACCATTTGCAGGTCCACCTCAGCGGGCTCATTCGGGGACAGGGCCACGGCGAGGGAGTTGCTGACCATGTTGGGCCCGGCAACCGCGACAACCCCCGGCCCGGAGGCCGAGGCATCCGGATTGAAGTCCCGCACCGAGGGGACCCGCACGAAGAAGAGAACCGGCGAGATGGTGAGGAACGATTGGATCGACCGGAATACCGGCAAACTGGAAGCCCCAGCAGTCAGGGGCACTTCCAGCAGCTGGAAAGGGCACCCAGTCACCCCGGGGGGCTGTTTCTTCACAAACAGCAGGATGACCACGCTCGGCCGGGCTCCCGGGGTTGTGGGACGACGAAGCATCATGTGCGCATCATGAGTGATGAACCACCCGGGCAGGCGCGGGTGGAAGGACAGCTCGGACACCGAGAAAGGAACCCACACGCGCTGGATGGTGCATGTCGCCTTGCCAGACATGTTGGCCAGCTCCGGCGACCCTTTGACCGTGAGTCGGGTCTTTGCCGGCAGCAGGTCCCAGCTCATGGAGCAGGTCCGGAAGTCTGACGGAAGCACTGGCGGCGGGTCAAATCCCTGCAGAGGGTTGGGGTGCATCTCGATCACCTCGTAAAAGAAGTCCATCGACCGTTGGAAGTGAAGCACCGGCGAGTCGGGCGTCATCGTCGGCACCGGCTCCAGGCCGGCCGAGGGGAAGGGCTGGCTCAGCTGCGAGAACCAGGGCCGGCGGATGGGCAGGTACTGCTTGTTGAGAATCGACCGGTCGACAAGTTCAATGCCAATGCGCTTGACGTTTCCGGAAGGGGCAGGCACACCGGCGGCTGCGAAGTCCCCATTCTGGCCGCCCGGAAGGGCGCCGAGGTTCGACTGCAGCACCGAGGCCGAAAGGGCCGTCAGCGGCCGGGTTTCATCCTCCCCAGCGGCATCCTGCTGGATGGCGGCCAACTGCACGTCGGGACTCGCCACCAAGGTGCATACGTCGTCCAGCCACTGGGAGGCACTGACCAGATCCAGACGGCCGAAGGTGGCCGGCCGACCGTCGGCAAGCAGACGCGCCAGGGGAAGCAGCCACACACTCTGCGAAGTGCCAAAATGCGGGTACTCCGGCTGCAGGACATGCAGCGTGGGGAAGGTGGTCGACACAGCACGCGACCCCTCCACCGCGCCGTCCTGGGCCACCGCGCGCAGGGTTGACACATCCACCACCCGGAACCCGGCCCACGAAGGGTCGGCCTGGACTTCGGCCGAGCTGATCCATGTGTCAGCGGGCTCCGGGGTCTGGCACACGGCATCCACCACCGGGGCATCCGGGTCCGGGCAGTTGGTGGCGCACTCGCCAGCCGGCGTGCGGACCAGCCCCGGCCGGCAACGCAGGCACTGGCCGGATGTGTCGCACAGCATGCAGCCATCCACATCGCACGGGGCACAATCAACTGAAGGACAGCAAGAGGGTCAGACGAAGGCCAGTGCAACAGAGCAGGGAGAGAGAGGGAGAGGGAGAGGGAGAGGGAAAGAGAGAGAGAGAGAGAGAGAGAGAGATGGAGAGGGAGAGAGAGAGAGAGATGGAGAGGGAGAGAGAGAGAGAGAGAGATGGAGAGAGAGAGAGAGAGAGAGAGAGGGAGAGAGAGGGAGAGGGAGAGCGAGAGAGAGAGGGAGAGAGAGAGAGGGAGAGGGAGAAAGAGAGAGGGAGAGAGAGAAAGAGAGATGGAGAGAGAGAGAGAGAGAGAGACAACAGGGATAGCTTGCACGCACCACCGAACTCCGGGGGGAAGTCCCCAGTCGAAGAGTCACACTGACTGCATAAGCTGGACCCGTCGGCCGGGGAACGCAGACCTGGCGCACATGTGCAAAGATCCGGGACACGGAGAGATGTGTGCTGGGGAAGGCACGAGGGGGGGGCGTCGGTGGCATCACAATGGTGTTCGCCCCAGGTGCTGGGGATGTTGCAAACGCTGGCCCGGCCGCAGCCGCAGCCATTGCGCTCGGATGCCCGGCGGAAGAGGACAAGCTTCTGGGACTTGGAGCTCAAAAGGGCCAGGTCCCCGGCGCCATCACCATCGGCATCTATCGACAACATGATCAACCCCTCGGTGAAGGAGCTGAAACTGTCGCGCGGGATGACCGGCTCCACGGACACCGTGACCCGATCCGGCTGCCCGGCCCCCGGGGACACGTCCTGGCTGACGGTCACCCGGAAGACCCATGTCCCCTCCCAAAGGAAGAGCCCGGCCTCGGTGGGGGTCAGAGCCTTGGGATCGATGGCCGCCTGCACACCGACGAGCCTGGTCCCGGGGAGGTAGCCGAGGTCGGCGGCCGTCAGCAGCGGGAGTGGAGCCTCAAAGCGCGGGCGGAAGTCCTGCCCCCGGCCACGATTTCGCAGGAGATACAGGACTGCCTCCCCGCTGTCGGGGCTCCCGCTGACCAGCAGCAGGGATGACCGGCTGCCAGGCATGGGGGGCGGCAATCTCAGCAACTTCCCACAGGGCATGGGCTCGTCGAGGATGCGCACAGGATCCACGATTGGGACCGTGATTACCAGATCATTGGCCAGACGTGGCTGCCAGCCAAGCCAGCAGAGGCTTTGGCCGGAAATCCCGGCCGAATGAAGCACCACCGGCGAATCCAACCCCATGCCATTGTCGGCATCCAGCCAGAGCGAGCTGAACACATGGGTTTTGGCCAGGGGCCGAGTGCCAAAGCGATCCCTCGACAGGATCCCCAATCGGGGCGAATCGCCCGCCTGGAGCCCGGGTGCCAGCCGGCCGAGGCTCAGATCCGCCGAGCCAGACAAGGGATAGGTGTTGAATCGCGAGCACAGGCCCTTCGGAATACTGGGGGGATTGTCCGCGCACATGGCAAACGACCCATACCCGATGAGGACCCGGTGCAACCCCTCGGCCGAGGGAACATGAGCCGACCGGACCTCGGGGGTCAGCTCGCGATGCAAGATCAAGCCGGCCCCGTGGATGTCTTCTTGAAGGAGGAGGATTCGATTAACGGTGCTGATGGCCTCCAAAGAATGGGACACAGTGGGCGAGGTGGAGTAGGTGTGCATCATCCGAGTCTCGGGCACGGAAACCGTGCGCCGGAGAAGATCGGCCACCAGGATGGGAGCTGCCGACATCGGCGCTGAGTCCAGGGCGATTTCCGAGCCGGCTTGATAATAGGGCCGCTCGGGGGCCGGCCGGAGGAGCGTCACTGTGGTGCTCGGGTCGGCCGGCACACAACGGCCAGTCGGCGGCCGTTCCACGACCAGAATGAACCGGGCCGGGCAGCTCAGGCAGTCGCTTTCCTGAGTGCCGGAACAGGTATTACAGTTGCCATGGCACAGCTGGCAGGGCGATTTCTCTGTCACCCAGGTCGATGTCAGTGATCGAATGGCACATCGGGCGAGAGAGAGGGGGAGGGGGAGGGGGAGAGGGGGGGAGGGGGGAGAAACAAAGAGAGAGAGAGAGAGAGAGGACACAGAGAAGGACACAGAGAAGAAAAGGACAATGTCGCTGCCATGCGCACCATCGGTTCGGAAGAAGCCCGGCCGGCAGAACTCGCAGGGGGCGAGCTTGAAGTCCGGGTCGGCGTTCGGGTCCTCACAGCCGCAAGTGGGCACCGAGTAGAAGCCACCGGCGCCGGGCAGGCAGATGCCCCCAGGGCCACACAAGCACGCCGGGGTGGCATCCACCTGGCTGAGCAGGAAAATGTCCCCGCCAGTGGTCGAGTGTGCCAGGGCCATGTCCAGACGCCCATCGGCGTCGAAATCCCCGAAGGCCACTGAACGCCAGACCCCCGAAGAGGAGGGGTGATCGGGCAACAGCGGGGTCGCCCCGAGGGTGCTGAGCTGACGCGCTGTCGAGGTGCTCGCGGGATGCAGGGGCCCGGGGATGAGCCACACGCGCGAGCCGAAGGCCACTACCAGATCATCGGCCGCCGGGGTGGTCAGCCGCGCGGCCGCGGCCTTGGGATAGTGCTGGTTCTGGGGCACCGCCGCCAGGGCGGGGTCATTGGTGGCCATCTCCGACAGTGAAATGGTCACCGGGGCCGACAGGTCCGAGGTCAAGAGGATGATGATGCGGGCCGGCCCAGTGGACCGGGCCCCGGAGACCACCACCAAATCGGACGCAAGCCCATCCCCATCGAAGTCCCCCACCAAAAGCTGGCCCACCTCCATGTCGACCGGCAACGGCAGCAGGAGGCTCACATCGGCCGGGCTGTCCGGGGTGAGGGCCGCCTCGCCGAGGCGGTTTAGCCAATAGATCCCCCGGCCGGCTGGGAGAACAGCCCCCGGGGGCGAGGCGACGGTGACCGCATCGACCAGGCCATCCCCATCGAGGTCCGTGGCTTGGAGGAATTCAAACCCCCGGAAGCCTTGCATCAGGGAGTGCGTTGAAGAGCCGACGTCATCGAAGAAGTTGAATTGCAATTTGGACCACAGCGAATCCGGCTGCAATAGAAAGCTGCTGCCCGCGAGCGAAGTCCCGACAACCACGGATGCGGGGTCGAACAGTGTGGCACCCGATTGCATGAAGCCCTCGGCATGGTAGATGGCCTGGTTGCCGACGGAGAAGATTTCCTGGATGTAGGACAGCTCGGGCGAGATGACATCAAGAATTTGGCAGAAGGGGCTGAGCGGCTTCCGGGCGAAGGGGTAGGAGAAGCACCGGTGGGTGCGAAGGGGGGGCCCGGGGAGAAACTCCCGAGGCCGGGAGGATGGCAGCCCGGCCCGGGCCAGGGGCGATGTGGCCAGACTGTAGAAGCTGGACATGTAAGCCAGGTCATCGAAGCCATCTCCCGTGAAGGGCTGGAGCGATTGGGCGTTGAAGAAGTCGCAGAATTGGATGTTCGCTCGGTCGCTGGGGCTTACCGCGTCAGGATGCGCCACCCGGGTCACCAGGCGAAAGGCCAGCGTCGTGGCCGCTAGCCCTGGTGGCTCGGTCAATCCGGCGGGTGACGCGGCGCCGGGGGCCGGGGGAGCCACACCCCTGGCGACATCTTGCACGTGGGCCAGCAGCAGAAGGCATGCCAGCAGCGAAAGCGACACCAGCGAGGACAAGCACCGACCCTGGGAGGGGGTGCACGCCCTGGCGGTCATCACACGATGGGAGACCACGTCCAGGCGCGCCGGCGGCGGCGGCGGCGGC